TCAATAATTTACCTATCCGAAGATAGGACTGATGAAATCTAAACTTATAGGTATTTCTTCATGGTAAAGTCTGTCGAAAGGAAGAAGTGCAAAGCTTCATGTACATCAACGAAGGTGGCACGATGATTATATTAGTGTATGATGATTACATCACGGCATGGGGATTAAATTTGGATTTTATACTGTTTGCGATTATTTTTTCGCTCCATTTTTTAGTAGGCTTCCCCTATACTTCATTTCCATCTTTTCTTTTCATCAACTTTTGCTGCACTGCAAAAATAGAAGCATTTATTCTGCATAATAATACAATAGGCCTTTTGCAGGATTTGATCATGTGACCGATTTCCCCTTAGCAACGCCATACTGGCTGGCGAGCCATTCTCTGTGTTGCATGATAACCAGCTATTATCTTTGTATTGGAGTGAAGCGTGTCTCTTATTTGTGTTGAAAGTGCTCCAACGGTTAATCCTAATCCGTCTCTTTGTCAACTGGAAAACATTTATTGCCAAAGCTTACCATACAGTGAATTTTGTGAGATTTTCGACGGAACTAAGAGAGTTTTGACGAAGTTTTGACTTGGCGAAGTGAGCGCCATCAAGACAAACATGGCGGGATCAACAATGGGTAACTATCGCAAGTTTTTGCCGTAATCTCTTACCTTTTCTTGGAAAATTTTCGGAAGAATAGTAAAAGTTTAAAGCAATCCTTGTCTTAGCAGATAATGGGACTGAAGATTTGTCTTTGATTCCAAATTTGACGTTCGCGGACGTCGAGACTTACGCCAAACTCAAGTCTGGATGTCAAAACACAGTGAAAGCGTACAAATTTTTCGCAGAACCTGGCTATCTACACGAAATAAAAGGTATTTACTTCCGACAGAAGTATATAGTATGAAAGCTTTATATTTTCTAATTTTAAGTTACAAAGTGACCGTAACACTTTTTGAGGGAACAATTTGTTAAATCCTTAGCCGCTCGTGATGCGTGATTCTGATGAGCGTATATTTTCTTTCTTTCAGTTAGTTACACGACTGACTATGTTACTATAACAGCCAAATGCTTTCGATCAATGAAAAAAACCGAGTCCCCGCATAATATCTCAGCAAATATTGAGTTGAAAGAGAAATCATTGAGCGGGAAATGCAGTTGTGTTGCTGGAATAGATGGATATTGCCACCACATCATTGCTTTGTTTTTCTACCTGGCACACTGTAAACAACTTGGTCTTAGATCTCTGCCTGATGACTTGACTTGTACTAGTATGAAGCAACGATGGAGCGTTCCAAGAGGGAAAAAGATCGAACAAAAGCAAATTCAAGACATCCTAGTCAAGAAACCTCAAATGGGTGCAAATTATTCGAAATTNTGGCACTAATTTGGAAATATCGAGCTAACTCACAAGAGCATAAACAGATTGCCTTTGGCTTGAAAGTGTTCTATGAAAACTATAAGGACAAGTATTGGTTCTGGGAGATAGCTGAGATGTACCGGAAGCTGATCTTTATTTCAGTCATTCTTCTGTTTGACTCCGAAAGTGATTCTCAAATTGGCTTTGCTGTGATGGCAGCAAGTGCATCAGGAATTGTGTATACTATCTTTCGACCGATAAAAGACAAATTTGAAGATCGACTGCAAACATTTGTGCTCTGGGTAATATTTTTTAATGTCTGTCTTGGTGCAATTTACTCGCAGCCAACCATCAAGGACAGCAGCGGAGAAAGCAATTCCACCTTTATAAACGTGGCGTTTCTGATTCTTAACAATGCCGTGCTGATCATGGTAGTTGGTAAGTCCTTTATTCCCTTTAAGCGGGCAGATTACTCATTGGGTATTTAAGGATGTCTCAACCTTGATTGTGATAGAATAAATAACATATTGGTTAAGGCAACTTTTTCTTAAAGTATCTCTTTTCACCCAGATGAGAACAGATGAACTGTCAAAGTTCAATCTTCTGAGAAAAAGAAAGGTTAAAAAAACTAGTTTTAAAGAGAAACTAAACCTGCTAACCTCTACATTGAATTGTTTTGTCTTGATTTTTAGGAAAAGGTGTTCATCATCTAAAAGATGCTTACCGATGCAAGAGGCACCAGAGGTTGGAAATGATGGATCCAATGACAAATGAACACTCTGATGATGAGGATTAAAGTCATCCTTCTCGAATCAGCCTTTAAAGTTTATATTTCTGATTGAATGTAGAAGATAAATTTTATAATTTAATTCAAGTAAGCAAACCTATAGTGTAGGAGGCAAGACTGATTAATGACTCAGCCTTTGACGTTTCTATTCCCAATTAAAAGTTCATCGGGAATGAAAAGAGAGGAAGACTGCATTTTTTTCTTTTCATTATTTTCATTGATTGGCTGTAGGTTTCAAGTCAATTGCAAACCAACTATAATTATTGTTAACGGGTAATTTGATATTTTACCCAACCCTACTAGTCATTGTTAATAGGAGAAGGACACTCATTCAAACCTCTATAATATTTGAACACTTGTGATGTGCCGATTCATTTATGATCTTGAAAAGCGATCGATTCTTTAATGGAATTTATCAGGTAAGCATCAATTGACAAAACGAAGTGGATCCTGTATTCTGAATGGCAACCTCAGCAGGTGTTATGGGCCCATCCTTCCCGCTAAGGATTTTCAACTTTGATTCATCCCAAGAAAAAAAAATTGTGCAGCGAACTTATAAACTTCGTATCTACTGGAAAATGTCTGCAATGGATTCACAAAAAACCGCAAAGGAGAGTCTAAACCTAAACGACTCTCTTCGGTTTTTTGTCTTACAAGCACATTTGGCTTTCTTTTCCTCCTATAAAAAAAGACGTCTCTTTTGATAACAGGAGAAAAACGTCTTTTTTGATTCCTATCAACCGGATAGTAATTTAATAGTAATCTTATTTGAAGTCAATTACACAGGGAATAGTTGCCCAGATCTCCCGAGCCAGAGGCTAGTGACAAAAGTGATTGACAAAGAAAATATAAAAAGCATTATGTATATACAATATTAAAAAAAATTCCGATTGTCGACAACCAGAGTAATCACAACCAGAGTAATTGACAACCAGAGTAATCACAACGGCTAATCAGGAGAAAGGAAACTGTTAAGAAATCAATGTGAACTTAAAGTTAAAACTAACAAACTCCAAGAAGCGCAGGAAAACACCAGTGACCAAGTCGTAATTGTTCTAGATTTTGAATTTGATTGGTTAAGAAATTAAAGTGACGCTAGTGTTCAGAACAATTTGGATTTTTTTATGGAATGATTGTGAATCAGTCAAGAGTGAGAGAAATGAGATGGTCGATGTTAATCATTCTTACAAATAATGGCGATCATTTCACTTTTCCCTTCCACAAGGATATTTTTGTAACGGAGAGCAGGCCTAGTTCTCTTCATTACAAGTGGAAAGGTTTCCTATTACCCATGGCCGATTACATTCAATAATTTACCTATCCGAAGATAGGACTGATGAAATCTAAACTTATAGGTATTTCTTCATGGTAAAGTCTGTCGAAAGGAAGAAGTGCAAAGCTACATGTACATCAACGAAGGTGGCACGATGATTATATTAGTGTATGATGATTACATCACGGCATGATGATTAAATTTGGATTTATACTGTTTGCGATTATTTTTCCGCTCCATTTTTGAGTAGGCTTCCCCTATACTTCATTTCCATCTTTTCTTTTCATCAACTTTTGCTGCACTGCAAAAATAGAAGCATTTATTCTGCATAATAATGCATTTCTTTGCAAAACGTGTACATGTCCAGGGAATTTATTCACAGGCAGAGGAGAATTTCATTCTCAGAGCCGAAACTCTCCGGGTCGAAAGTATAGCAGTGGAAGTTAACGGAAATATTACTGTTGTAATTAAATAAGACCTAACAGATACCTTCTCTAGTAACTGAAGTTGCCTTCATTTTGATATACGGCAATGGGGACTGTTAAAGTAGAACAGTTTAAACAAGTTGCATTTTGAGTTTTCGAACGCTTGCGACACACTTTTAAATATAAGAATAGTTGATTACTTGGGAAAAGTCTCGTTTTCGTCAAATAATCGTTATGTTTCCGGTGACCACCGAAAGAAAAACAAAATTTTGCATACTTCATTTGATTAAAAACCTAATGTTCAAACTTCTCCCGTAAAACAAGTCAACGGAACCTTTAACGCACTATTTTCCCCTAAATAAATTCATCCAAGGCGATATTAGGGAAACTGAAAAGAAAAAGCTCGATTGCTATCAGTGAGGTGATATTTTAAAGCTTTTAGATGGCGAAGATTTGGAGGATTCAGAGTTTTCTTCTAAAGATGGGAAAAAGTGACAACACTCAATTTCATCCCCAATGAATTACATCAGCCATTCCACATTTACTCCAACACTTTATTGACTCATTCAGCTCTATGGAAAAATTAGTTTACAACTCTACACCAAGATCCACTTCCAGGCAAAGCTACAAAAGTTGGTCTTCATTGTAGAAAAGGATTGAGAAGTTTGCAATGATAAAATGAAAAAAAATGCATCAATAGATACGTCAATAGTTATTTTAGTAGTCCAAAATTACTTTATTGGTTGGTTGGTTGGTGGTTTGCTTTGGCTGTCGCGACCGACAGATCCAGGTTTTGAAGCATGCAACAACGATAACTACACTCTGAAAATAGAATGATAACTCTTGTGTTGGGATAGAGATTTAAAAATTCATCTGACATGGAATTATTTATCTGCTCTCTGGTTGGCCAAATGGACTGAGAAGCTAACAAAAAATAAAGGTAGTTGATCCAAGTGGTGAGCTCTCAACTTACTGATGAAGGGTGTAAATTAAAGCGAAAAGCAAGATCCTGCTGAAATAATCCAAGTCTGATAAGAACAAGACACATAAAGCATTCATCAATCAAAAGCATTGATCGCGATGATGGCCTGCTATCTAGTACACCTGAAGCATAGCAGTATGTCATGTTTTCAGCAGATGGCTTGACAAATTCCTAGAAAGCAATTAG